CCCCCTCCCTTCTCTAATTTTGGCTTGAATAATACCTTCTCACATTGTGGTTTTTCATTGCTGAGATGTTTTGAGAGTGGCTCCTACACTGTTACTTCTCTGACCTCCTCTTGACTAAAAATAGTTACGTTTGCGAATAGATATATTCCAAGTATAAGAGTCGACTCTTGACTGGAATCAGGCGTCGTTGGCATCTATCCAGGCTCTATAATTGGCGAGACTCGGTAATTTTCCAGTCTGGATTGTTTTCTTGGTCAAAGTGACACTAGATCGCCCTACAGTTTAGACCCGTAACTGTAGTCCTTGTGTTTATGTTCTAATTTAACGAAAAGGGCGGCAAATGTAGGCAAGGCTGTAATTTGTCCGGTAATTGACGGAGATAGCAAATTTCTTGAAAAATTTATTTTGGTCTTAGCTAAGCTAAAAGAGTAATTATCACGAATTTAGTTGTGCTATTTGCGGTATAGGTAGTATATTCTCATTCCCACTATTATGATTGTTACATAACGCTCTAATTTCTGCTCTATCACCAATGTGATTATGCTCTCAGCCTTCCATGCTTGTAATTGGAAAGTAGTCCCTATTTAGTTTTTTTAGATTACGTATTTGTATTTCAATAATACATTCCATCTCTTTGTCAATTTTAGGTTGGAAATATGGAGGAATTGCTGTGTCAGGTCCAGGACGTTTACGGAGACGAGAGTCTCGCTCTTTTGGATTTTGAGGACGGAGATGATGAAGAGGTTTATCCGCCAAACGTAAGTTCAAAATTTAATTTTCCTTGTTGAATCGCAGTTCTAAATCAATAATTACGCTCAGTAAAAGGCTGATATTTTAAAGTTGGTCCCTGTCTTTAACATCTCAGCTACTTATTATAATTCATTTTGAAATTACGATAAAATCAGGTATATTTGCTTATAGGAATATTTTAACTCAACTGGAAGGTATCACTTTCCCAAGATATTGAGAAAAGTATTTTCCAATGGAAATTCAGGTGGAGATGAAATGTGTCTTCTACTCAGAAAAATTGTAGTTGCTATTTTAGTTTATCAGTAAAAGTGACCCATTGTTATGAAACGATCCCTTAAGATTGTTATAAAACTTTCATTGTCAAACTTCCAATCTTAAAGCGGAACTTTTTCGGCAGCTGAGTTGTAAGAAGATCATATTAAAAAATAAATAGCACATTTATATCCCATAATTCCACCTACAATCTCCCAACTTTCTGAATAATTTTCATACGGAAGCTCTAGTTGCATTAAAGTGAATCGTAGAAACAAGTTCACTTTTGTGAAAGCGAGAGAATCATCTGGATTCCCTAGCATGATTTTTCGAATTGTCTCTCCTTATCCGTCTGGAAAATTTTTAAACCTTCAATCGATATGGATTTTTGGATTTAGTCAGGACAAAACCACTGGAATCCAAAAGCATGAGAGTATGTTTATCAGCCATTAACTTGTAGTATCCGTTCAGTATCAATTTCTACCCTTTATAAAAACCGCTTAAACTATGACCTTATTAAACTTAAGCTTCGTTTATTCTCTCTCAGCGAAGTGAACGAACTACCTCCACGGCTGAACTGACCGAATTTCCTTCTACCGATTCAGTAGACGGCTCTTTAAACAACTCTATGGAACGAGTTGAAGTGAGTCCAATCTCGAAACCCTATCGTCCACAATCTCGGTACAACCCCCAGGGTAGTAGGAACCACCTTTCACTAGCCGCTACTGATGATGAAGCGTCGATACTTCATAATCGTCCCCATCGATCGGCGTCGTCGACTCATCTCCCTTCCACAACGACAATTGGAAGTCTTGCCTCGTCCTATGATCTGAGTGAACTGTCGGAAAGTACCAATAGTATTGCCAGTATTGAGGAGAGTGGAAAAGGTGTGTTTAATGAGATAATGTTTGCTAATCCTCCATTTTACTTGTCCCCAGTGGCAATTATTTTTTATTTATTTCAAATGGCAGGCGTTTTGATAG